GGGACGTGGTTATAGCATGCTTGTAAATAACTCTGCCAACTCCTGCTATCTCGAATAGATAATCGGACGATAGCATGGGAATACCCATCACCCGGATCGCAATAGGGTTGTTAAGTGTAAAAGGAGAGACCAGCTTCTCGATTTTATATTGACTTCGGCATAGAGGTGATGAAGAAGTGCTGTGCATCCCTATTCTTATTATAAGCTTGTTTCAAATCTCGCGCCACGCGAGAGACTTGCGCTAGTTGCAATAGTAAACGAGGTTAAACCTATTCTAGGGAGATTCCAGTCCGGGCAGCTCCAAGTCTGTCGTTTTCCGGTTCTGCGCTAGGCCGCACCAGGGCAAGTGGGCATGCCGCTAGGCAGTGTACCAGGCCCAATTCCATCAACGGTTCCCGTCGTCATCCCAGCAGCAAGCAGTCAATCCCACTGCGCGCGATTCTCGTTTCCATTTGTCTGCTCCGTGTCTGCGACGCCCAAATCTTGCCCTTCTCCTTATCATCCTGAGCTCCTCTGACTGGATCGTTGTTCATTGGTTCTTTTCCATATCGCGCTCGTTTTGTCTTTGCATCTTCTTCTTGTTGTTGTACGTCACCGGCGGTGCTTGTACCTGACGTTGCTTTTTCGTTATTTTCACGGATAGATTGTTTCATGCGGCAACGTAACCCGGCGCCCAATCGAACATCCAAGCTGCATTCGCATCCTCCTCGCTCGTGCAGAGGGCCTGAGTGCTTGACTCGGTAGCTCCCTTATAGTTGCCGATCCAAGTATTTTTTGCTTCAGCAGACACATCACATCGTCCACTCCTTCCTCCACAGATACTGCCCAGCGAGACTCTGTCTTAGACCCGCGCCGACACCGACCGCAAACGATCCAAATCGCACTTGGAATTCCGACATACCCTTGCGCGCTGCCTATGCAGGAACCAGAAACTTGGTAGGCAGCTTCTTTCTTCCTTGTTTTTTGTATGCATAACGAAAGCCTCTTGCGATCGGGCCACCGTGCGGTTGATATTGAACCGCCGGTCCTTTTCGGTTGGTAGACTACCGGCCGTATCACCACGGCGCATTTGCAGGACACTGGGGAAATATGAGTCCCTCGATTCCACTTATTGGCTCATCAACTGCGAAGACGGACACTGTGGCTTGATAGGCAATCTATTCGTCATACCCGCGACAACCGGGTTACATTGGAAACTTCCGCAGAGCGAACTGGATCGTCAGGAGAATCCGTCGCCAACTACACGCCAGGGCCCCAGCGTGGGCAGTTAGGAGATCCGTGGCAATCCCGGAAAGCAGATACAATTGACTCGCCGTGACACTGTTCATCTGCTCTCTGTCTTTCGCTCGTCACACTGGCAAGCAGCCACTCATGTTCCCATGCTGTTACTCGATGCGTCTGCATGGTGAACTGACAGATGCTGTTTTTCGGTGTTCATTACACGGTTGCCAAAGAATAGACTAACCATAAGATTGTGAAAACCTATAGGTGCTGATTACTCGTCGAAATTTAATTGCTAAGATCGTCAACTGGTCCCATTTTACAATCCGCCGTTGCAACTGCCCACAGAAATACATACGAACAGACAGTGTAGGCAGTGAAGAAGGAACGAAGTCGCACAGCGTCCAGTGTCTAGCTAGACCCGGCATACAAACGACGCTTCCGTTACGCATACGTTCCCATTACTAAAGCTATACTAGACCTACCCGGACGACCTAATTTGGCCAGTATTATTCCATCTTGCGTATCGGTCGAGCCCGACCCAACCAACCCATTTGCTACTGCATTGGAATATTTGGTAATCACCCGGTGACGATTATCTTGGACTCGTAAGCGTCGTGACGCTTTCCCCTAATCCGTTTCAGTTGCACTTGAGAGACGTCCTCTCGGGTGGGACAAAGAAGTGTAACGAGGTGAATCACGAACCGCAAATTTCCGAAGCTCCCACAATCTTGGAACGCACTCGCTGTTTGGTATATCTTCCAATTTACCAGGATTCTTCGTCATCGCCCTGCATCGATATTGCCTGCTTGTTATAGCAGGTGTATGCAATCTGCGCCTACCGCCGTCCCCTCGCGGTACACGCACCTACCTGTCCCCGAACCCCGACTCTTTGCATGCCTGCATTGCTAGCTTGGAAAGATGAGCCAACCAACTCCCCCTCGTCGGTCAAGCTTTGGGAATCTGCTTAGACGCAGTAAGTCCGGCGAATTTAAAGGTGGAAGGAAGACTTCACAGAGCCAGCAGAGAGAGTCCGTCCCCAATTCCCCGCCCCGTCTACCGGCCCTCTATAATGGTTCTCAGCCTCAACCTCTCCAGACCTTTGGAGGCGAGACTCGTCCCGACTCTGTTGCCATAGTCTCCGGGAAAGCAGATCACTCTTTTCACCACCAACCTCCGCGTGCTTCTATTGATCCTGGGCGTCCATCTATGTCTTCCTCTGTTGCAAGGCCTCCCGTTCCGCCGGTTCCTAACGGTGCCTGGGTCGATCCCTACGCTCGTACAGAAAGCATGACGAACCGTGGCCGATACAGTTATGCGAGTAGTGCCATCAGCACTGTTAACAGCCCTAGAAGGGTTCGAAGAAGGAAAGACCCAACTCCTTTCAAGTACGTAACCGCACCCTTCCGTTCCAACCTCGAATGGTCCTATTAACCTATCCGCAGCATTCTGATCATAGGCACTCGTGGCTCAGGCAAGACTTCATTCCTCGAGTTTCTCAAGACATCTCTTGCCCTGCCGGCCAAGAAGAGATCTCAGCGATCGACCGAGATTGAACAAGAGGTCACCCAGGCAACACCATCCGGGAACTTTATACCCCACTATCTCGAAAGCGAGATTGATGGCGAGCGTGTAGGATTGACCATATGGGATTCAGAGGGCCTGGAGAAGAATGTCGTAGATCTTCAACTACGGGAGATGTCCACATTCTTAGAAGGGAAATTTGAGGAAACGTTTGCTGAAGAGATGAAGGTGATCCGATCACCTGGCGTACAGGATACGCACATCCACGCCGTTTTCCTCATTCTTGACCCGGCCCGTCTTGACCGTAACATTGCTGCTACTAGAGCAGTTCCCGGCATTGCTCATGGTGGAAAACATGGTATCGATCTAGGACGTATCGTTGGCGGTCTTGACGAGGATCTCGATTTGCAGGTTATGCGCACACTGCAAGGCAAGACGACAGTGATTCCTGTCATATCCAAAGCTGATACCGTCACGACGGCGCATATGACTTTCCTCAAGAAAACGGTCTGGGCCAGCCTCAAGAAGGCCAACTTCGACCCCTTAGAGGCATTGGGTTTAGACGAGGAGGATGGATCCGCCCTAGACTCTAGCAGAATTGACGAGAACGAGGAGTTGGAGGCAGAGGTAGATGAAGCAGTAGCCGAGTCTGGCAGTGACGATGACAATGTAGCTGAAGGCGAAGATCAATCATCCTCCACCTCGAAACAAGGATCAAACACCTCGATCCACCAACCCAAGATGTCGAACGAAGACAATTCTAATGAGCTACCTCTTTTGCCCATGTCAATCATCAGCCCCGATCTCTATGAGCCCGGTGCTATTGATCGGAAATTCCCTTGGGGTACGGCCAATCCTTACGACCCAGACCACTGCGACTTCACTCGTCTAAGAGATGCCGTTTTTAGCGAGTGGCGTAGTGAGCTGCGAGAGGCCAGCCGCGAGCAGTGGTATGAGGGCTGGCGAACCAGCCGACTCAAGCACCGGAACCCTGCGAATCGACGCCGTTAGGCATTGCGACAGGATTCGCATGGTCGCCCTTTGTTCTTCAAGTAAAACGCCAGATCGCATTTTCAGCCACTTTTATCTTTTCTAGGTTCCACGGACTTTTCTCAATTTGCGACACCCGCAGCAATACCCATTGATCGTTCTTTCTTCTATTCCCTCAGCATTTCCTGAACAACCATGTACTACGTACGAATCAAAATTTTACTTTCCTGATGGTCTTCAAATAAGAAAAAGGGCCCCGCAGGCGGCAGATCTTCTTCGGGGTCGGGTTCCTAGGGAAGAAAAAAAGATACAAATGAATGACCTTTTGGAGGCTGATGCTACGAAACCCATGTACCCAGCACAAATATCATTGATTTGTCGGGGGGTGAGGGCAGAGCAAAGTAGTCTTCAGAGTGCGCCACTGTTGTGTATCTATCTTACTCCTCAATAATTCCTGGAGGAAGGGATGAAGTAATGGTCGAGTCTAAGCCTGTTATTTGTTGCTGAAGGAGATATTGTACTCTCCAATCCTGTAACCCGTCCAGGTCTCATAAGGTCGTACTTATGCTTCATCGCATATATTCTTGTGTCGGTTTAGGTACCACACCGCCGTAAATTGTCACGATTCTTTTTCCTTTTTGTTCTACATTTGCATGCGCAGTCATTGTCTTTCCTGATATGGGTGATGACTGCTTTTCTGACGAATCCGAGTCTTTTCATGCAATATTTAAATATTTACACGTATTTCTATGAATGGCTTGCGTAAATTATCCGCACTATATATCTAACCAGGTAAGGCTAACGAGCAGACGCAAGTCTGATCCTTCCCATCATGTCAATCGAATGATTAAGATCGTTCCTCACGATAGTCCACGCCACCACAGAGTTCTTGTTTATAGCGCTTTCCAACATGCTCTTCGTCTTCCTTTTCTGCTTTTCCTGTCCCATGCTGGGTCTATTTTCGGAATCCTTCTACTCATTCATTTTAGCATATTAGGAAATGCTCTACAGTAATATGCAGCTTGCCAAAAGCGCAAGTCCATTTCTGATTGACGCGGCGTAGATGATACTAAAGAGTAAATTGAATAAGACATACGTAACTCGAGACTAACTAACTATCTTTTCACTCCTCCCTACCCCTAAAACGCTCCGTTAATTCTTCCCTTCCAACCCCGAGGAGTTAACAAAAAAGGCCGACTATCTACATCTTATAATTGTAACCCTTAAATTACTAAATAATTAATAAAATGAAATGCAAAATGAAACTCCCCCGGACAGGCTTGAACTGTCAACCTCTCGATTAACTGCTGTTATAACAGTCGAACGCGCTAGCCAATTGCGCCACGGAGGACTCAGTAATGTGGAACATATTCGGCAAATGTTTAAAGCCTCTTATGTCTTTCAGTCATCAGATCGGCCTAATGGACCCACGACGTCAGAGTGTATTTAAACCCCGTATTCGTACTTTGATAAAGCTTAACCAAAAATAAACGTCAGTAGAGAATCATATTTTTTAAATATACTACTATATATATAGTCCTCCTGCAATTAAAGTCAGCCTCCACTATATTGTAAAGGAACAGTATATACGATTTACACGCGGTGGCCTACGAAAAATAAATATAACAACTAGGTAACTATATTCTCGTGCAGAACACACTACAATGAAAATGAGAAGCCGTTAGTTGCCCGAAGGCCATGAGCATTAGAATAAACGCAAGAGAAAAAGCACTTCAAGTAAAGCCACACACAATAACGTTTTCAGGGGTGATTCTGCGAGACAGGGCCGTATTCTAAGGCACAGGCGCCATCCTCACTCTGAAATTAAGAACAGTCACTAGTTAAAAATCAAGTTCTAACCTACATGGCCATAGCCTGTCCAGGAAGTTCCGAGAGCCAACCATCTGTATCTTCCTCCACGGTGTTCTTGACGGCACACTTATTCATCTCTTCCACCGTCTGGGTTTTCAATATCCCCTGCATGCCCGGACTACCACACGTGTGGAACATACACGTACTATTCATAGCGCGCTGCAGGCTATCGCCCTTCCATCCGAATAGGTAGTCCGCGTGCGTTCCATAACCTTTCCCATCCATAAATGACCAGACGAATGGCTGCCATCCATCTTTCGGCCACATGTCGTTGAAGACTGTGGTATCCCACATCGTCTCGTAAGCGACCTGTGGCACGCGGACAGGGTGAGAGGCGGGACAAGGGCCTGCCTCTTGGAATTGACCTCTGGTCGTGCTGAACATGTGAGACTGGTGGTCTGGGCTATCGAGATTCACGCCGTCCCAACACGCAGGGAAGTGGTGGATTGCCATTACTAGAACACGCAGTGTCAGCCAGCGTCATTTGAGCTCCATTCATGGTCCTAGACGGCTTTCAGGGGATTATTTTGGCCTGGAAAGGGATGTTTATGCTCTACGATCCTCCAGATAAGAAGAGAATCACTCTACGGATTATTACTCACTTCCTGCGGGACATGGCTTATCAGGCAATTCGGCTGTCTCATAACCTCTGGTCAAGATATCTTGTAGGCAAGTATATCGGAGGCCAGGCTGGGCACTTGAATTGGTGATGGAGGTAGTCGTTGGAGAGCCGACTGTCATTCGGAAGCCCTAAGCGCCGTGCTAATTAGTCCTTCATTCCCCGCTATGATAGGTAGGTATATATGCAACGTACGGGTTTAAATGCGGTTATATATTGGTCGCCGTTGCCAGTGAAATCCTTCTGGGTATAGTAGATTGTCATCCCACCCTTGATATCAGGAGCATCCTGGCCCTCCGTGCCGAGTTGGGCGTTTGGGTATTGTGGGACTCTTTGGTAGGAGCCGTTCTCGTGCCTGAAGTACAAAGCCTATCGACGTGTCAGAGCTACGATTGAAAGCGAGAACGCAAATCGTAGCAAGCGACCTACCGCAGTCCAATAATTCGAAAAGTCTTCCGTATACGCGCATGTTGTGCAGCTGCCTTTCTCGCCAATATCGCCCTGCATAGTTGCGTTGAAGGCATTTCCGCCAACAATCTGGTGAACATGGGCCGAAGGGATCTGGCCCGGCTCGACAACCGGGTCTAGGCGCTGAAACGATACGGACGAGCATCCAAACCGAAGGCCAGCCTGGGAGAGCCCAGCTTGTAAGGTGAGAGCGTAGATAGCCTTCATCCTCACTAGAATACGGGAGCGTCCCCTTGATGTCTATTAGCTTTCGTGACAGTTATCGTAAGGCCGGGGTGGTAAGATCATCAAGACGACGGGACGGTGCCGTGCCGGACCCTCAGGGTTATAAAGAGTCTAAGCCCGTAGCTGTACGTACATAGGGGGAACATATGCCGCCTCTCATTGTCGATTATATTGCCAAGGTAATATACATCTCTTAACGAGTCGCACCCAAGGCTAGTAACCTAGAAGCGATACCTTCGTAGATTGGTGTAATATAAATTAGCCTATCCGAGTAAAGCGATACTAGAAACTGGGGCCCGGGTAATTTGCGTCGACGATAAATTCAATTGCCGATTCGTCAGTACGCCACCTCATACATTCAGGCACATCATGTTGTTCGAGTATAGCGGTTGGTTAGTTAGGTAGTTGCTGTTTATTGCGCCTTTTCCATTTCTTGCATAGTGTAATACGGTTCATGTGGTTAGACCCTTCATCCCATTCTAATAACTCTATCATAACTTCAACATTACTTATATTAGTGACATACACGAGTATGTCAATGTAAGCTAGAAAGTCTTAAGCACCGTGACGGCAAAAGATACTCTCTTTATGTTGATGTGATGCAGAATTATCTTACCACGGGGAGCTTGCAATATAATCCACACTTCCGTATAAATTCTTCTTGTCTCAACAATCACTTTCCCCCAAGGTTGTCACTCACACCTGAGACTATGTCAATGACAAATCATACAAGTACAAGGCTTCGTACGAGGCTATTTGGAAGTATAATCTGTAGATCTCCCACCTCATCAAATAGGGGCTAAGCCCTTCATTGCCCCCTTGACACCCTGGAAGATTGTTGCAATTCGAACTTTCTTCTAAGCCCCTGTTACGTCTCTGCAAGCACTTAAAAGGGCTCAACGACTCAACACAAATGTTAGTATTGACTGTCACGATACTAGTACTAGAACAAAAAGCATATAGGTATATAGCCGGAGACTAGCCCACGGAGATTTCTAGACCCCTTCGCGCAACAACAAGAGTCTATAATACGTATCGCATACATGAGATCCTAATAGTGACTGACTGTACATGCGAGACTTTAAATTTACAAAACCCATATGTCACCATACTAATACTAGAACAAAGAAGATGTATGTATATAGCAGGAGATTAGCCCACGAAGGAATTTAGGCCCTTCGGGCAACAACAAGAGTCTATACGTACCCCCATATACGAGACCCTGACACCATAAATCTTACCTCGAGGATTGGTCGCATTTTTATATCGGAAAATAGCTGAGGGGCTGGCAAAACCGGACCAGGTCGAAGTAGCTAGGTTCCCGTCCCCAGGTGTTTGCAATGCCAAGGAAACAAGCATTGGAAAATGCGTGCCAAAGCTCTATGGTTTACTTCTTATAACCGCTCGAGAAATCGACTTAGAACGAAGCTGGTATATTAAATCCCTAGCCAGGATCTCTTCTTGCGTGGTTTAAATCAGGTCCTACTACCGACTTATTATAATTCGGAACAAAGATAATAGATGGATATTAGTAACAAGTTCAGTCCAATATGGATTCGGGCCCTTAGCAACAGCTTCGATAAAACATATAGCATCCGAATCTCGATGCTTTTCTTTGCCTAACTATGCGATCACGTGTTTAGCTAACAAGAGCTAACAAGTAAATATAACCTATGAAATCGAACTTAATAATTTCGCTTATGGGCATCGTTCTAGTTAATGTATAATGCATCTGCTTGTGGCGTTCGGGTGCGGCCGGGATGGCGTAGATGTTGGGGGCTGGGGGTTGGCTGCCTGTGATGTTGTGTGTCATATCATTCAGTAAGGGGGGAAATGTTTATTGTATCGCTTAATATATGTAACAAAACTTCAAAATAAGGAGGGTTATCTAGGAACGACACCAAAAGGCGACATTGGGAATCCCTGGAATTATCGCCAGGCAGGAGGAGAAGCCTGAAACGTAGCTCCGGTGTACTCGGGTTTGAATACATGGTTTGGTTTCACTGGCCTTTCCCTCATCGGGTACCGGGATGAAGAGTATACATATGAAATTATTAGATAGGTAGGGAGGGACTGACCAGTCGTGAAAAACAGGGCTCATTGACATTTTATGGCCCCCACCTGCAAAGATGGTAGCTGCCCAGGTGTGCAGGTGCGCTATCATCTTTGCAGAGCCTCACTGCAACAACCCCTCAATCGAGCCCCTGCGTGTAAGCCCAATTGCTCACAAAATATAGGTAAGCACGCATGAATCGTCCCACGGCTGCCTGGTGATAGTCCGCGTTCCATGTACCTGCTGCCTGCTACTAGGTAGTGCTTCCCCAACATGGCCATCATACAGTCTCGTACGTCGAATACTATCCTGGAGCCTCTATGTCTTTCCCCGCCTTTCGGTCTTCCCGTGCTTATCCATTCCAGGTGGTATGCTGCCTTGCATCTTCCGCAGTCATTCTCGTCTTGTCAAGTATAAGTATCGTAGTAGCAATAAGGGTACCAGCGTTGACCTTTTACCCTCTAACACCTCCATCACCAGCTGTTATACCAAACAATCCCACGAGCTCAAGGCTATCTACGTATTGGAGTGAAAGAGAACGGTCTCCTGGCCCCCAGGTACGAATGCAATGGACAGCAACGACGGCGCAAACACCAGTGCTGCCAAACATCTCAACCCAGGGAATGACCTTGATGACACGACTGTACAGCTGACAATAACATCGTATGCTGCAGATTATACAAATCCCACTTTCGAAGCCGCCCTGTCCTCCATAATGGCACAGGTTCCAGCCCATTCACCCGGGATCCCCTCCGGGGCCGCCACAAGCAACCCCAAGCCCGAGATGATGACCTTGTATAACCATAGTAAGCATCGTTCCCAGGGGCGTGCGAGATGGTCCGAGTTCCAAGACCCGGTGGCCGAGGAGAAGCGGCTGCAGGAACTGGGAAAGACATTTGCCATCATTCACCGACTGTCAAAGGTTGAGAAAGATGGGCTCGTCTCCTGGGTCACAACCTCCCTTGAGGCGCAAAGCCCACGACTCAGGAAGGTACTCGATACCATCTTCCACGATTATCCCTCATGGTATGCGGACGGGAGTCCCTATGCTGTCGCTCCCCCTTTCAAACCTTATGTCCATAGATGGGAGGCCTTCTCAGAAGCTTGGAGCCAA